CCATTCCTTTCACTTCTGTACCTCTTTGTCCCTCTACTTCTACCTCTGCTTCCATTACTTTTGTTCCCCCACTATTTCCTGTTGTGTTTCCATCTTGTTCTGCTCTTCCCTTTTTCGATCCCTCCGATGACCTTTGTGTTGCAGCGGTTGACCGGCTCATGAAGGAGTATTCTGATCTCTTTGAATTTGACATATCGTCTGGGGCCAAGATTGCCACACGTCATCTAATTCCAACCGGGGATACTTGTCCAATCCAAGTTCTTGTTCATCATTGGTCACCCAAGGAGATCAAGATTTTACGTGCAAACATCAAGGAGATGCTGAAGAAGGGTGTTATTTGAAAGTTGTAGTGTCCTTGGGCATGTGAACCTCATCTTGTGACAAAGCTTGATGAGAGTATTTGTTTCTGCATTGACTATCATCCGTTAAACGAAGTGACGATCCTGGATGTGTACCCTCTTCCTCACACTGCTAATCTCTTGGATCATCTGGGGCGAAGTCATTGGTTCACTAAACTAAATCTTACTTCTGGGTACTGGCAAGTACCGATGGCTGAAGAAAATATTCTTAAGACTGCTTTTTGTACACCATTTGGTTTGTACGAGTTCTTGGTGATGCCGTTTGGTTTGAACAATGCTCCAGCAACTTTCCAGCAGATGATGGATGAAGTTCTTTGCGATATGCCAAAAGTGACTCTTGACTTCATTGATGATGTCTTGATCCACTTGGAGGGAATGTGGGAGGAGCACGTTCGTGATGTTTGTAAAGTGTTGGATCGGCTGCGCCACATTGGTTTAAAGTTGAAGCGGTTGAAGTGCATGCTTGGGTCCAAGGACACAATTTATCTTGGGTACCGTATTTCTCGTGAGGGTTTGCAAGTTGATCCTGATAAACTTGTGGCTATTCTAAAGTTCCCTACTCCGAAGTGTGTGAATAATGTGCAACGCTTCTTGGGCAAAATATAGTATTTCAGTCGTTTTGTGGATCATCTTTTTGATCGCACTGCACCGTTGCGAGCGTTGCTGGAGTTATCAACGTCATCTTTCATTTGGTCTCCGGATTGTGACCGGGCGTTCGGGGATCTCAAAGAGCTATTGACAACTCCTCCGATTTTGGTATATCCTGACTACACTCGACCTTTTATTTTGCACGTGGATGCTTCTGACATTGGTCTTGGAGGTGTGTTAATGTAAGAGAGCTCGAGTGTGCCTGGTCAGCACCATCCCATTGCATATATAAGCCACATACAACTAGTGGAGATGAACTACTCCATGACAGAGAAGGAGTGTTTAGCAACAGTTTGGGGTTTCGAGAAACTTCATGCATATTTACATGGTTCTCGGACGTTACTTGAAGGTGACTATGCTGCTGTTACTTCATTATTGAAGCGGAAGAACTTAGTTGGTTGTACTTCTCGATGAGCTTTGAAGCTTCAAATATATGATTTTGATGTTGTTCATTGCCCAAGGAGTTCTATGGCTGATGCTGATGCCCTTTCTCGAGCTCCTTTTCTTTCTCCACTCTCTTCTCATGTTTCTGACGAGCTTGTTATTCCAGCATCTATGGATTTTTTAGATGAGGATTCTATACCGACGGCGGTTGCTGTACTTGACGTTTAGTGTCCACAAGGCGCAAAGTAAGATCTACCTTCTCTTGATGAGGTTCGCAAGGCTCAAAAGATTGAGCCGTGGATTCGAAGGCTTTAAAATGGGTTTGAGAATTTTGCATCACTTGTTGATGACTTGCCTTTCCGGCATTTACATTCTCAATATCGCCTTGAAGACGACCTTCTTTATTTTGTGGGGACGGATCCTAATGACCATTTATGGTTGGTGGTGCCTTCTGTCTTTATTCCGCGGTTTCTCCATGCCTACCATGATTCTCTTATTCTAGGTGGGCATATGAGACATTGTCGTATGACCGAGAAGCTGTGCAGGTATTTCTATTGGCCGGAGATGCAACGTGATATTATCCGGTATGTGCGTAACTGCGTTTGGTGCCAAACTCGTAATACTCCCCCTCGTGCCGTGGAAGGACAGTTGGAGTCAATTGCAGTTTCCTGTCCGTTTGAGTTGGTGGCGTTTGATCTTATTGGACCTTTTCTGCAATCGACTGTTGGTAATGAGTATGTTATTATTGCTTCTGATTACTTGACTCGTTAAGTGGAAGTTGGTGCTCTTGCTAGTGCCGCTGCAACTGCTGTTAGATACTTCCTCCTCAATCGAGTGGTGTTCCAGCATTCTTGTTCAGAGCAGATTCTTTTGGATAATAGTCCCGCATTTATGGCTGAGGCATTTCATGTTTTGACGTCTCGATTGGGGATACGCCACACTTTTACAAGTGCTTATCATCCACAATCAGATGATTTGGTGGAACGGCTCGTTCGGACATTCAAAGGGATGATCGCGAAGTTTGTGAACTTTCAACATTCGGATTGGAATAGTTATTTATTATCTCTTTGATATGCATATGTCACAGGGGTGTAGAGTTCTGTTAGTGCTTCACCATATAAACTCTTATATGGTCATGATCCAATATTACCAACGGAGCTGGGTTTACCTTCGCAATTGCCATGAGCTACTGATGCTAGGTCGTAAGATCAGTATTTGACGAGCATTCTTCCATTTGTCTGAGCAGAGTTTACCAAACACTTAGGCTGTGTACAAGTGGGACAATAACGACACTACAACTCCCATCATCGTCTACTTGCGAAGTACAAAATAGATGACTTGGTGTTGTTCTGTCTTCCTCATCTTACAGTACGTGATTTATCTAAGGGGCTTCTTGCTCAGTGGAAAGGACCGTATTGGGTGTTGCGACAAGTGGGACCACAAGTTTATGAGGTTCGGCATAACATACAGTAGGCTGATCCTCCAGAGATTGTGCATGTGTAGTGGTTGAAACGCTTCATACAAAGGGATCAGGAGCAATTAATACCACCTATAAATCCACTAATGCCTCCTCCTGATGTTCCTCCAGATCCTAACCCATCTATAAGGGACCCCTGATGGTCTTCCATTATTCTAAGAGGAGGGGATGATGTGAGGGCCAAGTATACGACTACAATGCCATATATTAATATTAGCATAGTGGGATTTTGGTAACTATCGGATTGGTTTCAATTTAGACCACTCACTCCTATATATAAGCTAGAGTTTTTGGGCTAATTAATATGCACATTTTCTATATTCCCTTTTCATATTCAAAGCACTCACATTGGTGAAGGTGAGGGCACCTTTGATTGTCTCTGAAGAGTGCTTGAATTTGGGATTTTGATTTAGATCTAGCTTAGAGTTAAATCCTAGAGTTTTTGAATTTTATTATATGTTAGAATAATCAAATTGATAAAATTGACTAATACATTATATGTATGTATGCACTATTTCAGACCTTATGAGAAGCATAAGATGTCAATTCAAAAACATTTATAAGCTATATAATTATAAGTATATACTGAAAGAACCTGAAATTGTATTTGAACCCGAAATCCCAAAATCACTAATTAATTATTTTTAATATATCTTATTTTTCTCCTCTAAACTAGCAGAGTTTTCCAATTTTGCACTAACTGCCATTGTATAGCTAGATACTCTAATAAGATAACATTATATTTTTGCTAATATTGTTATTAGTGCTCAAGATATTAGTTATACTAATATTTCTGGATTGAGCAGGATTGCCACAAATATCATTCTTTTATTTCTTGCAATGATAGTATTTGTATAAAAAGTAAGTAAAGAAAAGTATATAGTAGAGCTCCTTACTTTTTTCTTCTATCAATCATGTTAAACTAATATATAAATAAATATTTATGTCTTAATTCCTTTCCTTCTTATCACATGAAACTTTCTTAATATAGGCTTTATGAGCACAACTAAAGCTTTGAAGAAGTACTTAGGATCTCGCCAAAATAGGTATTCTTAATTCATTCAGTCCATTGTGTTTGAATTTTTGGTACATGAAAACTGCTTACATTCTGATATAAAATGGCTTGCTCTAGAGTGTTAGCAACCAGCAGTTTCGTAGCTAGATATATCATAGTTCTGTTCCAATGGCTCATACCAATGCTCTAATCTTCCAGGCTTCTTTCATTGCCTTCATTTCAAGTGTTGCAGTGGCACTAACTCCGTCCCCCGTCTCCCACTGCCTCCCCCTCCAGGAAAAGGATGCTTCCCAGGTAGAAATTCACATTGTTTTCCTATTTCCAAGCTATTATAGGAGGTGCAACTGTTCAGATGTATAATGGAGAAATTAAGTTCGTGAGGGAGCTTAATGTTAGACAAGGTTTAATACATAAATTTACAAATCTTGTCAGTGGGCAAGAATATCTATTCAGATGTGTATCCATTCGGCCACAAGGATGCCGATGCCATCTCCAAGTTTTCCAAGTGCACAGCGCTTCAAACATGTTGGAACTCACTGCAGGCCACTGTCAATGGAAAGCTCGTGTACAAGAGAGCCGAGGACCTCAAGGTTGGAGAGTCTCTGTGGGAATTATCCCAAATCACTGGTAAGGAAAGCAAGAACTTGAAAAGCATATATACACTGGTGGATGTTTCTAACTACTCTCTGACTTTTCCAGAAATCTCAAAGGTTGAAAAGCTGGGCCTCTACAACCCACTCACACCCTCCGGCAGCATCATGGTGAACAATGTTCTAGCATCAGCTCACAGTGACTGACTCCATACGCATACCAGGCCGTGAGTTCCCGCCATCTACAAGATCGTCGGCAAGGAAATCTACGCAAAGGATTGGCGAATTTGGAACGAAGAATGGAGGTAGCTTTGGAATTACTGGTCTTGTGCTGGCCTCCAAGGTGTAAACAAAGAATTAAAAATCGGAATCTATACGATTAATGGGGCATTCCGAGAATCGAACTCGGGACCTCTCGCACCCGAAGCGAGAATCATACCACTAGACCAAATGCCCTTTTTTATTGCTAACAAAATTAAGACATTAAAGTCAGCATTTTACGGAAATGCCCTAAAGGGCGATTTTAGGGTTCTTGCGCAGCTCGTTTTTTCGCTTTCCTCTCGAGCCAGTTAGAAACTTCTTTTGTTCGAGAGAGAGATTCTCTTTCTCTCTTTTCTTTGTGATTGTAGCTGTGTAGATAGGTTTTTTTCCATGCCCCAGGGTGATGCGGTGGAACAATGGAAGGAGGATTCCATCAGACGAGAGTGATCACAACGCCGCCGCCGCCGCTACCACCGGCAACAAAGAACCGAGTATAAACAACGCTTGCGAGAGAGCAATCGATGAGAGATCCAAAGGTATAGCAGATGAAATGTTTCGTTTCAACAGAATTGGGACTGGCTTTAGCATTGCAGCATTGGAGATCGAGGTTCCAAGGTCCCCAGCTCCTCCGTTTATACAGAAGAAGAGCTTTACAAAACTTCCATTGGTTTTTGCTAGAGAGCGCTACGTACCGTCCCTCACGCTCCATATGGAGGAATGGGAATGGTCTGAGCTGAGCTCTCAGCTCTCGAGAGTTGCCCGGCTTGACACATCCAAGAACACAGGCACGAAAAGCTACGCTTTGATAATTTTTCTCCCTCGTAGACTTTCGGGCTTGCAGGTGCACAGACACACAGAAGTTGCGCTGGCGCTGGAGAAGCTGTCAACCTTATTGTTAGTGCTTCCAGATGCTAAGGTTTCAATCTTCATACTGTTTCTTGGCAGGATTATATTACTCTCCCGCTTCTGCAATCGCTAATGCAAGTTGCTGTTACATGCTATCAGCTTTCTTTTAAAACTATCTTTGTGAAGAAATTTTTTCTTTGCAACTGAAATTTATCTCTGAAAATCTTAAATAGTTTATGGCTTCAAAATAATGCAAATTTCATAGACGACACAACAACCCAGTGTGACAACATATGGCACTAGACGCAATTCAAGCATCATCACCGAAAGACGTCATAATCCAAGGTGCACAACCAAACCACTACCAAGAATCAAAGGAGGGAGTGAGAGAGGGCTCATTCATAGGGATTGTCACGTAGCCAGACCAGGCAATATTGATTTTGAAGTTTATCTAACCCAAGCGATCTTGACATGAGCATATGCATACAAGTCTAAAGCAAACCTGAACACGCCCAAGAGAAGAACTCTATATGATCCCTGAGCAAGTTGGTACGATCAGATTAATATACCAAATTCTTGCAAGCAGGAAACCAGCAGCAGCAGCAGCAGCATCAGTCAGGCGCATGAGTGCTACTCACAGAGCCATTCTTTTCCTAATCTCTAAATGTTTAACATTGCCGAGAATGTTAGGCAGAATGGATAGAATGTTATGATAGATTAATGCGTAGATACTCCATGATCATATGCGTCCCACTCTTGGGGCCTGAACTCTGCTGCGCTCCCAGATTGTATTTCTTAATAATATGAATATTATTTGCAGGAATATTGCCAATCAGCCCATACAAGACAAGCGTTTTAGCAATTGATTAGCATGGCATGTCTACACAGTACGAGCACCATGTGTAGGCAGCCACTTCTTTACAATATTTCTGGGCTTGGAGTACATGTATATTGGAACCCAGCCTAGAATGTTTGGGCGTCTCTAGGCCCGTGCAGGTGATGCAGCAGCGGCATTGTGGGATGTGACGCCAGTAGCTTACATAAACATGGAATGGAAGATTTCCCGGAACAAAAGTTTAGTAGTAGGGTCTTAGCATTCCTTCCGTCCCTTCCTAGGAATTTGAGGCACCCTCGATTTGCATGACGGGAAAAAAAAGGATCCTGATGAGGAACATAAGTGCTTCGTAGGGTCTGTCGACAAACGAGGGAGTTTTTATTCCTGCACTTCTTGGGTGAGTGTTGAACAAGCTTGCAGCTTAGATTAGGGTTGGGATCAAGACCAGACATAATAATGCGGCACCACCCTCCTCGAATTGCAGACCAAATCATGAGAGCCTACCACCCACCATAGTTATTTGTAACCAAGGTATACGTACATTCTGCGCTTGCCAGCCATTTATAAAGGTCCCATTTGCCCTTATATTACTAATAATAAAGATTGTAAATTTTGCCACCTTTTCTAAATTAGATGGAATTAAAGAAAAAACGTAGTCTGTCCTGAGGCTCTTGAACATCAGCCTGAGCAGCAGAGATTTTGGGAATGGTGTCTTGAATTTTATAAGATTTTACAGTTTTTATGGTTTTTTTTTTTTTTTCCTCCAAACAAGTGTAGCATCTGAGCAGAATTGCAGCAACAGCCACAGCCGCAGAACCAGAGGGAGGATAGGAGAGATCTAGAAATGTGAGATCAATTCATTTCTAGATTATGTACTGGGCCTTGATCAGAGTGTATGTGTACCATGAAATCCTCCACAAATCTCTTTGCACTCTCGGTTTCTTGAATTCAACTCTCATGCTCACCCACATTGCCTGCTCTGAAGAAGGGAAGAAAAACAATGAAGAACAGTGTGCTGGTATCTTCTGGACATCTAAAACGTGAAAGAAATTTTCCTCCCTAGCTTTGGGAGAGAAAGCCTGGATTCATAAACGGATCGATAGATTCAGCAGCTAGAACTATGGAAAGTTTCGGCTTATCCAAAGACGACAACAACGAACTTCTTAGCTTTTGTCCAAAGATCTTTCTTTTGATCCCGCAAAAGCTACCTGAAATTTTTTCTTCTAAGCTTTTCTCCGCGCGAGGGTCGCAAAATCCGTACGAGACAAAGTGTGACAAAGTTGCAAGAGAAGTCGTGTACAAAAGCAATATGTTCATTACAAATCAAATGGAGGAAAAAGAAAGAACATCAAAGAGAGGGAGGAAAGAACGAAAGAATTACCACTTTTTGTTGCTACTTTGCTTGGATCGCTTGTGACTTTGATCGGGAGTGCTCTTAAAACTCCTCCGTTTTGTGCGATTCCACCGCCATTTTTTTCGTTTTCCTTTTTACTCCTGTAAAACTACCGCGTTCGTATCTGCTGCGCTACCTACGGTGGGCAAGGATGAAAATCGAGGCACGAGTCTGCGACCTGGAACATAGGATAAATCCTGTCAGAAACTCTAAAATCCCTGGAACTGGAATTTCTCACCATATGGAAATCGGAGTCCCTGGAAGCAGCAGCGGCTGGCTGTTAAGAAGTCGCACGTCGCGTTCGTTATATCGATCGTCGGTCGTAGTATGAGCTGTGTGAGTGTGCGTTGGTTGTCTTGTTGTTCTTGTTGTAAGTGTATAAGTAAAAGGGATCCGGATCCTCTCGATGATCGCTCGCGGGAAAAAAAACTTCGCGCGGTACTTATAAAATCGTCGACGTCGTCTCGCGGTGTGGATGATGATGATGATGACTCAATGAGTGTGGCGTTGGATCTTATGGCCCCTGCTGCTAGCTGGAGAGGAAAAAGAATTCTCGAGACTTCGTAAGGGCGGAGCGGAGGAACTTCTTCTTGTACTAGTGATGTCGTAAATTTGTTGATCGATGGAACTTCTAAGATGTGTGTTGTGTGTGAGTGTGTGTGTGTCGTCGACTTTCATGTTAGAGATGTGCAGCGAGGAGGAGCTCTAGAGTAGAAGTCTGGCACGCCTTGCTCAACAGGCTTGACGTCGCAGTACTGCTGATGATCGACATAGATGGGGAGGTCGACTATCCCCGGCCAGCCTGTAGAACTGTTCCAGTATGCAGTGCTATCCCCCGTTCCCCCACCTCCTCCGCCGCCGCCGCCACCACCACCTCCGCCGCTTCCTCCTGTTCCCCCTCCCGCCGCCGCCGCTTCCAGAAACGATGACTCCTGCTGCTGCTGCTGCTGGCCCTGCCACTCCGAAGATGAATGCTGCGAGTCGTGAATCCGATCCTGGGACTTCCCTTTCGGGGGCCGGTCGGAGGATGAGCCGTGATCCGCGGCGGCCAAGTGGCCCAGCAAGCTCTGGTGGAGATGGTGGTGGTGGTGAATTCCAATCCCAATTCCATCCTGCTGCTGCTGCTGCTGCTGCTCCGGGCCTTCCAGAGCCGTCATCTTCTGCTGCTGCTGTTGCTGTTGCTGCTGTCTCCACGACTTTAGATCCCCGTTGAGTCCCAGTCCCACGAAATTGTCCAGCCCGATGCTGAACCCGCTCGGCCCCAGCCCGGCGTCGCTCAGCTGCGGCGGCGCCGCGGGCACGCCAGCTCCGCCCAGCAAGTTTAAAGACGGCTCGTACATGGGCGTGAACTCCCCGCCGTTCTCGTGCTTCATGAGCCCCTGGAAGTTGAGCGTGGCGGTGGACAGGCCGTGCTCGGCCCCGGCCTCGAAAGCACCCGCGGGGAGATTGATGAACGAGGGCGCCTGGTGCCCGCCACCGCCCGGAACTCGCGGAATTTCGAAAGACAGCCCGCTGCTGCCCGAGTGATCGCCCAGTCGCAGGCTGTGCGGGATCCTCGAGTAGGCCAGCTCGTGAATTCCGTCCTCGTACAGGCTAGACGTGGAAGCGGCCAGCAGCTGCCCGTGTCGCCCAGCCAGGGAGTGATCGCCGCCACCGCCAAAGGAGGCCTTCTCTACTGCCGGGACAGTGGACGACTGATCCGACGACGAGCTCTTGTTCTGCTTGGCCCTCTTGTTCTTCCTGCAGCCCCCACCAATTGGCACGTTGCGGAGCGCGCCACCTTTGGTCCAGTAGCGCCGGCAGTTCTTGCAGAAGTGGCGCGGCTGCGTGAGGCTGTAATTGTTGTAGTAGCAAAACTTGGTGTTGAGAGAATTGCAGCGCGGGCACTTGAGTACCTGGTTTGGCTGTGGCTTGATCCGGAGAGCCCGAGTGGGAGCCGAGGACTGATCGCCGCCACCGCCACCGCCACCGCCACCCGACGAGGATTTGAGGCCATGCTCCACCTGCATGGAGCAATTGGGCAGGGGCCCAGCGGCGGAATTGGACGACGGCAGCATTAGTTCTCCGCCTTGCGAGCTGAGAGCCGAGGACTCTTCGAAACAATCGCCCGGCAGCGGCTCATGGTTGTAGCTGCTTAGCAGCATGACCCGCTGCTGCTTGGAACGCTCACCAACATGCAAACCTGGAGAGAAGGAAAGCAAGAGCACACCAAATTCTTCAGTACACACACAAGTCTAGAGAGTGCTCGAATTCAGCAAAAGAAAAGAAAAAATCCCTCCACTATTTTTTGCTTTGTTTTTCCCTCTCTCGCTCTCTCGAAGAAACTGCAAGCACTAGGGAACTGTTGGATCACGATGTTCTACCTCAAAGGCTCGCTGTAGACTGTTTGTCTCGCTCCCGGCGCGGGTATCAGTCTTCTTCGCTACGAATAACGAGAAAAATCTGCACAGATCTGGATCCAGTAAGCAAACAGCAAGGAACAAAAGCGTTACCCAGGCTCTCAACAACTTAGCCGCATTTTCATGAAACTCCTCGCAAGCAAGGCCGTGGAGAGAGGCCACAGATGGAAAGAATTCACAGGCTAGAATGAGAAACAGATGGAAGGAAGAATTCCAGACGCCAAGAAACACCAGGAACACACACACCATGAGATCGTCGCGAGAAAACTTGGTGACACGAAAATTCTCACGCACGCTTCACAGTACCTATATCTTTCGCATTTTCCGGGGCCTTTGGAGGCGATCTTGCGCAGGGAGAATTGGAAGCGACCGGCAGGAAGAAGAATTGGAAATTTCGCGAGGAGAGAAAGAAAGGAGAGAGCGTCGCGCGTGCGTGTGGAGCAATGTGCTGCGAGAGCGAGTACACACTCGTGCCGCGCTGCGCTGCGCCGCGGTGTGTGAAAGAGAGCAAGAAACACAGAATATCTGGCAAGGGATGAATGGCGAGGAGGAAACACGAGCCGGAGAGAAGCCACGCCAATTGCGCACAGGGAAGAATCGCCTGAGCGCCGGAGAGATGAGCGCTTGCCCGATGCCGCCCCGCCGATCGAAATTTCGCTCCAAGATCTGGAAATCCTGCACCGATCGCAGCAAAGAACGCTCTCTCAATCCACCGATCGCTCACGGACTGCGAGAACGGAGATATTTCGAGCGATTGGCACGAGATTTTGAGCGACTGATCCAGGAGGGAGAGAGCTAGGCTATGGCGCCGCGCGAGCAAGAAAGAGAAGAAGGGAAGCGCTCGCTATATAGGTAGAAGACGCGCTCGCGAGCGCTCTCGAATATACACGTTTTTAAACCCTAAGGTAGTGTGGAGAGAATAAAACATGCGGCGTCTCGCAATGCAGGGATCCCTCCACCAGTGATTAACTGGGTGGTTAAGGTAAACATGCACTAAAACAACCATGGCGGTTAGCCTTAACCCGGCACAGAATCTTCTACTGTACGGCTCTGGACGCCGCGGAGAGAATGATCCCGTAGAGATTCGCCTCGCTCTTCAATGTATACTGTTAATTCCTGCATTGTTAGATTGAGCAAATCTAGTCCAATCCAACCCCGTTGTTAACAATGGTTTTTTTTTAGGCCCGTACGGGTATCCTGCATGGACGTGTACGGTATAGCATTGGGCGCGAACCTAAAATCCACCTCTTTTGCATCTCTCTTTTGCATGGATGGATGATGAACGAGCCCAAACGTGAAAGAGGCTTTTGATAGACCATTGCATGCACAAAAGATTTTAGGGCCAATCTTGAGAAGTTAGCTATATATGTTTGGATGGATCATTGTCTCCTGTTATTTGCTTTTGAGGAGGGTGTGATCGATCAATCGAGATATATAGTTTTTTTTTCCTCTTCGTCTTCTCTTTTCGCGCTTTCTCTCTTCTTCCATAGATCTCTAAAGGTGTTGTTCCTTCCAACTCCTTGTTGCACTTATATGCTTTTGTGATCTTTTGAAGATAACATGACAAACACCCACTTTATAACAAGAGGGGGCAAACTAAAGGTGGCATGCCGCAAAACAACAACGGTTTACGGAGACTCGCCACCTTTTCGTGTCTGAATTCCCTAAAGCTCGCGTGCTTAGACACCACAAAGGTGGCGTAAATGTCCACCTAACGTAGACAAATGACAATGTAGAGGTTTTAGGGTTCTTTGAATTTTACGGGGGAGGGGAGATATTGCGTGAGGTTTTACGTGGGGCTTTTACTGCCTTCACGAGCGGTCCGACGGCCGTCCACGTGGGACCCCTAAGCCAGCGGCACCGTCGGATTGGTGTCATTTACTAGATCGCGATGACGAACGTTGACGGGCGCGCCATCGGTGGGTGGCCCGTCACGGGACCTTCCGGGCGCTTGAAGCCCTCCCCACGTGGCCCGTCACGTCCGGGTAAATATGAAAGGGTAAAAACGTCATCAACCCAGACCAAATTTTCATACCGAGGCATGATTGGACCGTTGGAGGGACATGTGGGCACCCCCTCCAAATTTCCTCACTAAGTTTCCCCAAAAATTTAAATTTCTGGTTTTCAAAAATGTTTTGGCGCGAGGCACGAGGCTGGCGTGGCCTGTATGTCGCACTCACGGTCGCCCGCACGGTATATCGCGCGGTCGGTGGCCCGAGACCGTAGTGCCGCAAAACCGCGCTGGCGACCGTGTCACGTCCCGCGCGGTTCTGGCCAGCGTGGCGGGCCCCACGTCTTGCCTGCCACTGCAGCGTGTCCGCGCACTCGAGGGCGCGGGTCCCACTCGTAGAGCATTGGCTTGTTGCCACGTGTCCTCGTGCAAGGACTGGGAAGAGGGCGTCATGATGGCGTTGCCTGGGCATCTGCCTGATTTTGGACCCTCCTGTCTGCCACCTCAGCCAGTCCGTACTTATCCCCGTGGACATATGTACGGGACCCATTTGCTTGGTCGTGGCCACCAATTTTCTATCCATATACATTGTTTATTATGCATGTGTATTGTTTTTTCGTGATTTCTCATTGGTTGATGTTTTTGTTAATCATATCCATGGCCCCTGACATTGGAATTGCGAGGTCGCGATTTGAAACTATTTCTTTTTCCCGCGATTTTGATCTGTTAATGTTGGGGGAGGGACACACCAACCTGGCACCGCCACTGATCATTTCTTTGCATATCCAAGAAAGATTCCTCGCGGCCGTACGTTCCGCCCGGGTGTGGCCCATCCACGGCTGCCCGGGCTGTGTCAATTCCAGCCGGGAACGAACCAGCGTAGGGAGAATAAGCGTGCTTGATGTGTGGGGTTGTGTGGTTGAGATATTATAGAAATTTTATTTATTTTTATCTGAATATGGAACAAAATAATAATAATTAGGGAAATAGTTTAAAGATCTCTCTAGAACTCATGAAATTGTTATGAAATTTCCTGCCAGGGAGTGAGAGAGAGTGAGGGAGAGAGAGGGAGTGCCGGGTAGGTTCAACCGCAAGCTTGCTCTGTCTAGATTCCCCATCCACTGAGAGGCCACCATGTTTGCCCAAGGGAGAATATATATGGATTTTATATTTGTTGTGTATTGCCGCGAATGGGACGCACCATCTCTGGGAGATGAGAGACTTGGGCAGCAAGGAAGGATCGGATCGCCCAGCGCTGGGTCCCGGTACTTGCTTGCTTCACATGGTTGACCATTGTTCAAACTATATCTCTGGGAAGGATGCCCGGTATATTCTTCCCATTTGGAGAAATCGGTGAGACGTTCGAATCCGGTGGGCACCTTGTGCCTCGTTTCTGCTTGCCTGGCTGGCTTGGGACCACTGTGACACACAATCTCATGCTTTTGTTGCCTGTAGATGCCCGGGAATATCCCCAGTAAGTCCATGGTGGGGGTCTTAGGACCAAAAGGAGGAGGAGGAAGTTTGGAGCAGAGACACAAATAACAAACAGCAACAGACAAAGTCTCGCCAATTATTAATTCTAACCATGGTTTTATTGTTGATGTCCAGGAATCAAAATATTTATAAGAAAAATATCCATCCAGCAGCCATCCACATCCTTTAACATAGCAATCGCCAACTAACCATAGCCAGAGCTGGCAGATGCATACATGTATACACGCACACACACACACACACCAGTCCACCCCAAGAACCAATTAAGCTCTTAAAGCCTCTCCTGTAATGCTGTCTGAGTTTGAATAACTGGAGACGATCTAGCAGAGGGGTAGCGGAAAAAGTATAATATTCTGGTGCTGGTGCTGTTTAGATCCTCTCCTCCTCTTTGTTTGTTGAAATTTAGGGGGCTCATATGGGATTGAATTCCGGCCCAGAGCTTGCGAATGAGTTTAACAGGCACACGGTTGTTGGTTTGTGGGTGTGTGTGTGGTTGTTGTTCAATGTTGTTGACGTTGTCATATCACATACGTCGCGGTCGGGATGCGTCAAAATCTCCCACTGTCGTGTTCGTGGAGGGGATGATAAGAAGCCCCAAGGGTACACACTAACGCTTCATAGGTAGGAAAGATGAGATAATAATTCAGAAAAAATGAAATCAATTTATTTAGGAATATATATCAGCCAATGTAAGGAAAAGAAACAGAAATACTAGATAGATACATAGGAAGTCATGTCAGCCCGCAGCAGCAGCTTTCACCGGCCGGACGGGCGGCGAATCCCCCAAACAAGTTAGGAAAACATTGAGTGATACATTTTGAAGGTGGTGGGTGGCATGTCATGCATGCACACCTTTGGCCAGGGCAGGGCTGAGAAAAAACTCCATGGACCTATTTCCTCTCTTTGAAGCCTGAAGACCAACCTGAACCCAGCGGAAAAAAAAAAACAACGCACGCTTTCAACCATAGAGGCCATGAAATGAATTCTAGGCACCTAGCTACATATTGCACATATGATACAAGAACCATAACACTTGCGCAATGAAGCGCAATGCCGCAAACAACCAACAACAACAACAATTTTCCACCCGTCGTTTGTGTAACTTTTTTCTTGGCGGGGTGTATTTACTCCATGGCGAAATGCTCGTGGGTCTTGGACAACCCCTTCAATTGTTAGTTTTTTCTTCCTCCTTTTTCCCCTTTTTTTTCCGGGTTTGTATTTGTCCTGCTGGCCTTGAGAATCCACATTGAATTCAGCTTGACAAGAGAGAGGGCATTTGCTGCATTGGGCTTGCTTTTTGGGCCCAGAACCGACCCCTCCCCTCAAGTTGAAATCTTTTCTAGATTTCATTGAAATATAGATGTGTGTTTGTGTGTGTTGTTTTGTATGGTGGGTGGTGGTTGCTGAGCCACCATCTCCCATGCATTCCTCTGCTGCAATCTTGTTTATAGCACCAAGGAGACACAAAGGCTGTTGTGTCGCCAACTTTTCTCCCTTTGCAGTTTTCTTCCCTGCCCTAAAAAAAAAGATTGGTTGGCGCCACCACCTTTTCTCCCCCCCCCCTGGAGTGTGTTGTTCCTCGCTTCCTTGCGGGGTCTGACTATAAGGTAGGAGTTCATTGTGTGCGTGGGGTGTGTATAAATACGCTATATATACGCATGATTGCGACGGCCCGGCTACTACATTTACACAAGATTGATACTTTTTTCTTTTTCTTGATGTTTTCCTTGAATTTTCTTTTCTTTTCTTTTGGCTGTGGTGTTCTTCTTCTCACTCTTCTGCTCTCTGTTCTTCTGCGCCTCTGTGTGCTGCTGCAATCTTCCTCCTCTCTGTGGTTCTGCGTCCGAGTGTAAATTTGGAATCGATGGAATCAGCTGGGTAGCCAATGTCATGGCACATCCAGCGTGGGAATCGACCTTTCAATCGGCGCAAATAAAATTAATAAAACCGCGACATTGACAAATGAACTGCAGACCATCGCACTTACAAGGATCAGAAGACGAAGACGAGAAGAAGTCTGTTATACAGATTTTGCGAAAAACAAAACCTTTACCTCTCTATCTAATTTTTCTATTCCTTTTGCCATTCAATACGTACAACTATTACAGTTATTCGCCAATAATAATGTGACAGGCCTGCCTAGGGATAAAAAACGAACCACTCTCAATCTCTAAGATGGAGAGGTTTTCCTTGCTCATTGTCTTGTGGGGTTCTTCCGTACCACGCTCTGGGCCAAACAAAAATTCCAAGAGAGATGTTCCAAGGGCAGGCATGGGTGGTGGGGTGGCAAATGCAAAATGGTGGCAGCAGTGATGCATCATAAGTTTTGTGCTGGGCTTGTGTGTGTGTGTGCCATGCATCTTGTGGACTTTTGATGAGAACAAGGGGCCTTTGGCCCCCACACACACACACACACGGGTCCTTTCTTTGGCTCACAGACAAAGCACAAGGGGGCCTCCGTACACTCCCCCCTCATGATACCCAACAAATTTTATCACCCAAATACTGAACCTTTTCCCGTTGAAAACTTGCTGGCCACATATCTTAAGTTTTTATTAAGTTTCTATGATCACGGGCAGATTTTGCGCGTAGGGAGACGTAATCGCGCGTGTGACAATTCCAGTTCCCCAATCGGACTAGCTCAAAGATGGCGGGCTCTTTCTTTTCAAAGATTCCCAGCCTGTTAATAAGTTTAAAGAGAAACAGCCATTTGGAGCGGCTGGTTCGTAGTTGCGCTCTCTCTCTCTCTCTCTCTCACGTTGCGATCGGTGATCGCCACCGCCAAGTTTGAGTTTGAGTTTCTTTGTCTGCGTGGAGAGATCTTCGTGGGTCCAAGAGATCTCGGGCTGTCGTGCACGATGGACACCGCCATTTTTGCGTTTGTGGGCTGCATGCTTGTACACTTGTTCTGGTTCTGGTTCGTAGTACGCTCCCTTCAACCCCAGGGAGAGGATTTGAGACTGTGTAAACTGAGAAACTTTCCCAGTTGGCTTCACTTCTCTGCCGACAGTTCCATCGTTTCCGTGGGAATCGTTGAAATTTTGGCGGTCGGGCTCGAGTGTGAAAAATGCTCAGAATATGTTATGTTTGTTTACCTCTTGTTGTCACTCATTTGAAAAAACTTGAGTGGAAGAGGCCTCAAACTCGGGACAAACTTCTTCTTGGGCAACGAACAGTGTGATTATTGACAAGTGGAGTCGCACTGACGAGGCCATGGAGAGACCTCGAAGCTTTTGGAGTTTTCAACGCATTGCTCGTTTGGCTCCAGCGAAAACGTTGCGTGGGGTTTTTTAGTTTTCAATGATCCTGGCTGGGATTGGCAATTTCGCACTGGTCTCGATCGCAAAAACATCTCCAACTTTCAACATCATGTCAATTCTCCCATCGTTCTTTAGCATTGAATTCTCGACACACACTTTCCAAACGGAAAAACGAAGAAAAACCCGATGGATCTTGTTTCCATGTAAGAAAAGAGATCCAAAATTATAAAACTAGAAGAGAGTTTCAAAGAGTTGGCAACAACTAAGAAAGTGACCTATTGCCTTTTTGCATCAGCAAGAGAGGCCAAGCTTTTTTCACATTGAAGAACAGTCAAAAGAAGCTTCTAGCGTCCGTGTACGGCAATGTACTGGTCAAAGTCAGGTCAATGTCAATGGCGTAGTCAAAAACGTTGGTATCATGGCGCTGGTCAACGTTTCCCGGTTTTTCCTTGCACAAACTCGCATGATTCCTCAACAAGACCAACTATTCTAGTGTTATTTATGTATATATCATCCGCCACCCTTGTTCCATCTGATTTCTCAACCATTCTAATGCTATTTATTTATATGAGTCCGGCACCCTCGTTTCACCACCAATTTACAAGTTCGCCACCTTTCATTTCACTGTACAAAATAATGCGTGATCGATCGCTCCCTTGTCCAGCCAGAGCTACGCGTGGTTGGAAATATAGACCGAGTAAGCGAGCAAACCGAGGCCGAGAATGTAAGTAGTGGCGGCCGGAAGATCCACCTTGCCGCTGCTCTCGTGATCGCCGCTAGCTTGCGAGGCCGGCGAGGACGACGAGAGCTCCGCGATCATCTGCCAAGCCTTGCTCTCGCTCTCCTCGGCAGCGTCTTTGGCCTCCTCGAGCGCCGAGTCGAGCGCATCAACCTGTTCCTTGAGCTTGCCGAGCTGTTCTTCCGCCGCCGTCGCCACCGTCGTCGATCGAGCTCCCAGCTCCCTGGCTTTCATCTCCAGCGTCTTGCTCACCTCCACCGATCGCGCCTTGTCCTCAGCCAGCTCCGGCAGCAATCCAGACAGTGCTAGAACTTGCTCATGTCCCTTCTTGGCATTCTCGTGGAGGATGTGGATGGAGGCTTTGATGGCCTCCATCCCTCCGGACGCGGCCTCCTTTTGGATCTTGGCCTTGATCGCTGCGTCCCTCTCGGCTTTGACGAAGCTCAGCTCGTTCTCCAAGCTCCGGACCCTGGCGTCGAAGAGCTCTATGTTGCTCTTGAGTAGCTTCTCCTGCTTCTCCAGCCGGCCCGAGTACTCGCTGGCGGACTTGAGAGCCTTCTCCAGCCTCACGACGTCGGCCTTGAACTTGGTCTCGTCGGCCCGGCAATTGTCGATCACCATCTTCGCCTCGGTAGCTTCTTCCCTGGCTTTGATCACCGTTGCTGTGAGTTTCTTGAGCTCTTTCTTCAGCATGTCCTTGCATGCCTGGAGGCTGTGGAGTTCCATCTGCTTGACGATCTCCTGGACCTCGAAGCTCGCATCGTTCTTGGACATCCTGGCCAAGTTCCGGTTGAGCCCGTCGATCTGCTGCACCACCGAAGCCACCGTCGACTCCGCCTCGTCCGCTCGCTTGGCCGTCTCCCGCAGCTTCTTGTTGATCTCCAGCAGCTGGTTCTCCAGGAATCCCTTGTCCTCCTGGAGGTACTGCTTCTCCGACTCGAGGATGCTCTTGGCTTTCGCCAAAGATGCCATCATCGAGTCCTTAGCCCAGATCTGGATGCGTGTGTCGTCAACCTGGCTGCTTAAGTTGGAGTTCTCGTGGACGAGATCGTGAGTCTTGGCCAGGATGGTGCTCAAGTCGTCCTCGAGCTGCGAGACCTGAGCAGCGAGGCTGCTCTTGTCTTTGCACAGCACCCGGACTTCTTTCGAGAGGAACTCGTTCTCCTCCGTGAGGCTGGCGATCTTCTCCTTCTTCTCGATCGACGGGAGCTTTCTCGGGCTGGGAGTGACGACAGAGCCTCTCTTGTTGCTGCCAGTGCCTTCTCCTCCTCCGGACGAAGCGATGTTCGTGCGGTGCTGCCAAGTCTCGAAGTACTGCGTGTTCTTCGAGAGCCTCCTGTTGTAGGGAGTGAGCACTGGGTGCTCATACTTTTTCGGCGACATCTCTCGCGGGCTGAGAGTCTGGAGAGCGCTGTCGTTGCTCTCGCGACCGTTGTTTATACTCGGTCCGTTGGTAGCACTCTCGCTAGTGGTGGTGGTGGCGGCCGTGGCCGCGGCCGCGGCGTTGTGATCACTACTGTCTGATGGAAGTGAAGCTCCTCCGCCTCCTCCTCCTCCTCCTCCTCCTCCTCCTCCTCCTCCTCCCCCGGGATCTAGCATTGTTCCTTCCATCGCAGCATCACCCTGGGGCATGATCCTGTCCAAAGGAAGAAAAAATGCTTGAACTGGAGATCTACACAGCTAGAATCGCAGAGCAAAGAGAGCGATAGAGAGATTTCTTTCTAGAACAATCACTGGCTAAAGAAAGAGGAGAAATAATGCCCGGAAAAAAGCGGGAGCTAAGAACCCTAAAATCGCACTCCAGCACTCACCAGATCGCCTAGTCGTGGCCGAAAGAGCTGAGTCTACCTCCTCCCGCGCTCCCGCGCTCCGCAAACACGTCATCCAACGGACACCATGGCGAAGGGACGCCAACTGGCCTCCCTTTAGGGCATTCCCGTACTCATGCGAGTTTATTTAGGGTTAGTGTTTGCCATATACGTACAGCATTAAATTTATGTTATGTTAAGTGCTATCATTCATTTGGCTGAAGCATGAGACTGGTGGAAACGTACCTTTTCCTCTGCTTCATTGAATCAATGACAGCACAGCCCTTTGGAAGTATGGTCTGGCTGTGCCAACATCAAGATGGAATCCAATGCTAGAACATTGTTAACCATGATGTTGCTGGAGAAAGTGAGTGGGTTGTAGCTTCTCAACCTTTGATATTTCCAGAAATAGTACAGAATTGTTAGAAACATCCCATACATATGCTTTGGAAGTTCTTGCTCTCTAACCTGTCAGAACCTCCAACCTTGAGGTCCTCAGCTCTCTTCCCATTGACATCAACAGGACATGAGTTCTAGCATGTTTGAAGCGCTGTGCACCTGGAAAATCTTGAAGATAGCATTGGCATCCTTGTGGCTGAATGAACATCTGAATAGATATTTCTTACTCACTGCAAACTGTGGAAAAAAGTTATGTAGATGTTTGTTTTGATTTTTAGATCCTTGCAAACTTAATTTTTCTCCACTATATATATGGTTTGTTTACAACAGCATATAGATAGATAACAACTTGCATGGTACTTTTGGAGGACTGAGTGCTTGCAAGATTACTTCATCAAGAGAACAAGAAAGAGTGAACATTGCATCCATGCTTCATAGTTGGGCACATATGGACTTCATAAAATCTAATGCATGTATTTCTTTTATAAATTATTGCATTCCATGTGTGTTTTTTCCCTATATATTTCTAACACAAGTGTTTAATTATTTAATATCGTATTCTAATAATAAGCCATTACTTAATATAGCCCTACTTTGTTCCAGCTGTATTTTATATATTAAAGAATTATAAACTTTGCCATGAAGCTATATCAAATTTCTATTTGAAGACAAGTGTCAACATAATATTAAGAAAATGTAAAGAGAACTAACAATTAGTTATAGTATAAAAGAAGGATGTTTTGATTCATAACACAATCTGAAATTTTTTCTTGATTAAATATGGCTTACAGTTATATTTTATTCTTTGCATTTATAAGTTTAATTCTAGCTGTAGAAGCAAGACTTAAAACATGTGGTGAATCTTGTTCAAGTCATAATGAGTGTAAAGGGGATATTGCTTGTTTTGATGGCATTTGTAAAGATGATCCTGATATGGATACAAATTTATGTCCTGGTAACAATGGTGGTGGTGGTAGTGGGCATGTTGGTGGTGGTGCTGGTGGTGGCACTGGTGGCAGGGGCATTGGTGGGGGTGTTGGCGGGGGTACTGGTGATGGGCATTGCTGCTCAGATCCAAATAGAGATGTTTGTTGGGATCTCTCTCTTGCACTTCCAAGCCACCAGGCCTCCTTGGTTGTGCTGGTTTTCCAGCAATGGATTTGGAAGAGGTTGATGTTGACAAACAGCTTGCTGTGATGCAAGAGAAGGCCATTCAAGCTTTGAGGGTGGTGGCACTGGTGGTGGGGGCATTGGTGGGGGTGTTGGTGGTGGAACTAGTGGTGGTGGTGGCAGGGATGCTGGTGGTGGTGGTGGGGGTGGTGCTGGGCTTCTTGGAGGAGACATACGTGGTCTTCATAGAAAGTTTTAAGTTAAAAAAATAATTAATTTAAAATAAAAATGATTAATAAAGGGTCAAAATTTGATCAAAGTTTTAATAGTAAAAAGTTTTACTTTATAATTCTCAGTTTGTATGGCCCATTCTATGTCAAAAAAAGAGGTTAAAAGTTTGTATCAACCTTACTAACCTCTTATACAAGGGAGAGGGAAAGAGTTAAATTATTCCAGCTTGCTCAAGAAAGATTTTTTTATCATTCTTTCTTGAGCAAAGTGGAATAAGATTGTTTTATGAACCTGAATCTAAAATTAAACACATTATTGAAACTCAAAGTTAAAGCTAAGTCTAAGGTTATAAATGTATTCTCAAATGTTTGATTTTCTTTTTTGTTGCTCATTAATTATTATATTGAATTTCTTCATAGAAAATTTTAAGTTAAAAAAAGAATTAATCTAAGATAAAAATGATTAATTAATAAAGGATCAAAACAATCTACTTTATAATTCTTTGTGTGTATGTTAGGAAAATGGCCAAGCTTTAAAGTTCATGTTATCCAAGGAAAGGGGGTTCATTTATTAATCAAAGTGCTTACATTTCCATATTTAGATTTGTGTAATGAGCAAGTTAAGCTTAGTACACCACATATGTCTCCTCCAAGAAGCCCCACCCCCACCACCACTACCAGCATCCTTGCCACCACCACCACCAGTGCCAGTGAATGTGCCTTAAAATCTAATATATAAAATACAGCTGGATAAACACCAAATGGCTCATTATTAGAATATAATATTAGAAATATAAAGCCTTTAGCTTAAGCATGTAATCTATCTATATTACATGGCATAATGTCATGCATGGTCTACCCAAAGATGGATCACTTTAGCCCTACCAGTCCATGGAGTGCAGTGAGAGCAATGAAAGTGAGATGGTCTCTAGCGATCCACAACAAGGGAGAAGGAGGAGAAGAAGGAGCAGCTATGAGAGATTAATGCGGACAAGCACAGCTACTGCCACAGTGTCTACTGGTTCCATGGCAATGTGTATCATACAAGAACTAAGTTCTTTCTCATTACCAGTTTCTTGGAAGGTGAGTGATAAAGAATTTTTCTTATCATCCCTTCCTCATGCATGGTGGTATTGACCGATGGTGCAAATTGATCCCAGGAATGGAGATGCAATCTTCTTTAGATCAATGCCTATGTTTGTTACCCTTTATTTTATAACTTTTAAAGTACACCTGACCACCAACGGCCAGATGTTTTGAAAAATACTTAAAATTTATCTTCTTGTCGCAGAGCTTTGCCTAATCCAGTTGATAGATTCGTGGCGGCGGCGAGGAAGGCGCTGATGAGCTGAGCGCCAAGCGAACAGGGTTCTGGAACATCGCTTCTAGGGTTTCATCGTCCGGCTTTGCTAGATGAGGAGCTGGGCCTTTTGCGCGATCGTCGTCCTGTTCCTACATTCCGTGCAAGCATTGTCTTCGGATGGTTAGAGCTCTCTTCTCTGGGTCCTTCTTGTTCTCGTTCTCTCACTATCTATCTATCTACCTATCTATCTTCGTTTAACTGGATTCTTCTTATTCGCACTCTCCTCTCCTATCACAGGGATTGCATTGCTCGCATTTAAAGAGGGCATACAAGAAGCGCAGTTTCTTCTCGGCGATTGGAGACGAAGCGATGCGACGCCGTGCAACTGGACTGGAGTCGAGTGTAATGGAGAAACTGGGCGCGTAGAGACTTTGTAAGTCTTGTCCCTTCCTTTGATCGCTAAATGAGCGTTTACTCTCGGCTAGAAACCTTCCTCGATTCCATCTGGTGGGAGTGATTTCTCCGGAGATTGGAAAGCTCAGCAAACTGCGAAGGCTGTAAGTTTTTCGTTTGTTCTTTCCAGACAAAAATATAGAACGTCTTTGAATGAACAGGGGATTGCATAACAACATGATCTCCGGTAAAATACCTCCGAGCCTTGGCAACTGCAGCGATCTACGGGCAGTGTAAGCTTAGCAGTTTTTTCTAGGGTTTCTGGAAGTAAGATTTCGTTGTACAGATACCTGCGAGACAATCTTCTAAGTGGCTCGTTGCCTGCGGAACTGGGGAGGCTTAAGAACCTGAAAGTGTTGTAAGTTTCTTGCTGACTTTGTTCTCTCATGCCTCTGGTTTTCACGAAACCAGGCTTGCTGCAGCGACGTGTCGGAGAACTCGCTCACTGGACCAATTCCAGCTTCCATGGAAAGACTAAACGATCTTGTGTTCTTGTAAGTTTTCCCAAAGAAAGAAACACGATTGTGTTAATCCGTCTGTCTCGAGTCTCGCAGAAACGTTTCCAACAATTTTCTTACTGGGAGCGTCACTGGTCTTGCAAAGTTTTCAAACAGATCGTAAGTTTGTGTTTTCATCTAGATTTGGCTCTTACATTATCTCTCCAGTTTTTTCGGTAATCCCGGGCTGTGTGGACAGCAGCTCAACAAGAGCTGTGAAGTTGGAAAATCGGTCAATGGTATGTCATCTCTAGATTTTATTTTTTTTAAGTTCGAACATGAAATACAGGTTCTAAGATGTCAAAACTTTCGAGAAATCTGCTGATAAGTGCACTTGGAACTGTGACCGCATCGCTGCTCTTTGCGCTAGTGTGCTTCTGGGGATTTCTTTTCTACAACAAATTCAACGCAACAAAGGCCTGCATTCCTCAGCAGCCGGAACCATCCGCAGGTCAGCTCCAGTTTCTTCTTCTCGTAACACCTGGACTCACAAACTAATATAACAGCAAAGCTCGTTTTGTTCCATGGAGGGCTACCCTATACACTGAAAGAAGTCATCACCAAGATCGAGCGGCTGGATTACAAAGACATAATCGGAGCTGGCGGTTTCGGAACGGTGTACAAGCTCTGCATGGACGAAGACTGCGTGTTTGCGGTGAAAAAAGTTGGAAGATCCAGCGACGGTTCCATCTCCGAGAAGCGTCTGGAGAAAGAGCTCGACGTCCTGGGGAGCATCCAACACCGCAACCTCGTCTCGCTAAAAGGCTACTGCAACGCACCGACAGCAAGACTCCTTATAACCGATTTCATGCCCCTCGGAAGCCTGGACGAGCACCTCCATGGTAATATCATCTTCTTCTCTTTTCCGTTTTCTTGTTTCGAGCATCTTTCACGAAAACTTTTGCGTCGTTTCCTGGCAGAGAGACACGCAAAGGATTCTCTGATGACATGGGAAGCTCGTCTTAACATAGCAATTGGCACTGCCAGAGGCCTGGGCCATCTGCACCACCGCTGTGTGCCTCCAATAATCCACCGCGACATTAAGTCGAGCAACGTACTCCTGGATAGGAATCTGGAGGCTTGTGTGTCCGACTTTGGGCTGGCCAAGCTTCTCGAGGAGAACGATTCCCAGGTGACAACAATCGTGGCCGGGACATTTGGCTATCTCGCACCAGGTACAAATAGTTTTTTGTTTCAAGCTCTTCTCTTTCGTTTTTTTTCTTTTTTCTCATGCTCGAGAGATTGTTTTTGTGTTTTCAAAGAGTACATGCAGTCCGGAAGAGCCACCGAGAAGTCGGACGTCTACAGCTATGGCGTTGTGCTGCTGGAGCTTCTCAGCGGGAAGAGGCCAACGGACGTTTGCTTCACTGCCAAAGGACTCAACATTGTTGGCTGGGTACGTAAAAGGAAGTTTTTTTTTTTCATATTTTCATACTCAAAGAGTGTTTTTTTTTTTTTTCTGTCTAGGCGAGTGCGATGATGCTTCAGAACAGGTGCCTGGAGATCTTTGATCCACACTGCCGAGGAGCTCAACTCGAAAGCATGGAAGCTGTGCTGGAGGTGGCGGCGATGTGCATCCATCCCCGGCCCGAGTGCCGTCCAAGCATGGCCACCGTCGTGGAAATCCTCCAAGAACATCACCACTCTCTTTGCTCCAGCACCGAAGAGGATGGATCCTGCGCTTCAGAGTTTTCGCTCAAGCTGTGAGAAGTCGCCATTCTTTCAAAGGTAACCTTCCAGATGATTGTAACTTTAAGAACAAAGTGTTCCACAGTTCTTGGAGAACTTCCAAAGTTCTTGGAGACGGAGATATGAGAGTAACATTAACTTTTATTTACTCTTGTTTATAAAAAAAGAAAAACACGAAACGAAACGAAAAAACGATAACTCCCACGGAAATCTCTTTGTTCTTTTGGTTCTCCACAAATTTACAGACCATTTTCCCCACAAAGCTTTGGTCGGCTTGCTTGCCTGCTTGCTGCTATATACAAAAATCAAAGAAATCGTCGTCACGATTCATCCATCTCGCGTGAGGTCGCCCGTTCTAGAAAAGAACGAAACGAAACGAGGAAGAAAACTTTAGAAGAGTGATACTCAAAAGACTCCACCTCTTTTCCTCGCTTTCCCCGTCTTTCTTGCTCTCTACTTTTCTCACTTCCTGGCCTGCTGTGCCTGTAAGATCAAACTCTTCCACCTGTTTTGCTTGCCTGCCATGAACGAACGAAAACTGGTAAGAACCCAAGCTCCGCTCGATCGATCAAACTCACTCCACTTCAAACCGGAGAACACTCGATCTGCGGCTTCTTGGCCGACATCCTCTTCAAAAACTCGTAAGTGGTGATCATCGTGGTGGCGGACATGGACATGCTCGCCCACCTCGGCCCCAGCCCCCGGTAGCAAGCCCGCCACCCTCCCTCCATCACCAGCACCCTCAAAGTCTGCGAGATCGATGGCGGCGGCCTCCGGTCGCTCTCCAGCACCTGGATCCTCGTCTTCACGGTATCCAGCGGCGTCGTCACCAGTGCCGCGGCCCCTCCAGCGGCGGCGGCGCTGATCCCCTGGACGCAAACCACCGCGGCAGAGGTCGGCTCGGCGGCGCCACCGAGATAGCCGAGATGGCTCCAGATGGAGCGCTGCGTGACGCAGTAAGACGCCCACCACACCGCGTTGGAGGGAGCGTAAGTGAGCACCGACATTCCAAAGCCCCTGTAGAGACCCTTCACGCCATCGCTCTTGAGGATCTTGCGGAAGGCGTCGAAGCCACCCCGGTAGCGAGGGAACTCTTCCTTGCCTCCACCACCTCCACTACCACCACCACCATTTCTTCCACCTTGGACCATGAGTCTCTGGCTGATCACGTCCACCGGAGTCCAGACCAGCTGCGCCGCCACCGCCGCGCTCACCCCCCCGGCGGCGTTGGCCATGGCGGCGGCGATGGGCTCCGAGAAGCCCAACTGGAGAGCTCCTCCGGCGACGTTGCTCTTGGTGATCTCCAGGGCGCTCATGTAGAGGGCGCGAGCGGGGATGGTGCCGAGGAGGGAGGTGCCAAAGCCGCGGTAGAATCCCCGGATGCCGTCGTGCTTGAGAATGCCGCGGGCGATGGATGTAGATGAGCTCCTCTCTGGGAAGACTTGCTGTCGCGTTTTGATGACGACGATCGGGTAGAGCATGGCGGAGACCCCCGAAAAGAGGCCGGCGCCCAGCATGAAGAACTTGGTCTTGTCTAGCATGTACCAGTCGACGTCGGCTGGGAGCCGGAGCTCCGTGTCGTGAGAATGTGAGGTTCTCAAGCTCATTGTCCCTCAAGAAGATCTCACTCCCAACTCTCCAAAAGGAAAAAACACCACCCGAAACGAAAATCCTCTTCCTCTCACGGATACCCCACTGGAAATTTCTACTCTCTCACCTCTAGCTCTTGGAAATTCTCTACGATGGGAGATCCTAGTCCCTCTTAAGACAAAATTGGGGAAGAAGCGTGATTGAAAGGAGAAAGAACGAAATTTCAAGCAAGGGATCAGGGAAGCAGTGAGTGAGAAGGCACGGAAAGAAAAAAGAAGAGAAAGCCACTCCAGAAAAACCCCCGGAGCGATTCCTCTCAACCCCCGACTTGCCTGGACGATTTCCTGCGGCCGCTGAGCTGCATTAAGAGGCTCATTACCCCGCCGCAGATCGACGCCATGGCCTCTCAAATCCGAGAGGCTATGCTGCGCTTGCTCGCCGCGATCAGTAACCCTAAAATCGCCTCTCGCTAGCCCTAAAATCCGCTTTACCATTTTATCTAGACAATGAGCAAGCCCTAACTGCCGCGTGGCGGGATCCGACGGCGGGGATGCTCACACCTGTAGGAGATAATGACACGAAGGATTTTTATTGGCGGGAAGTTTGGGTCCGTACGGAGAGAGGATATTCCCTCCGTACGGAGGGCTGGGTTTTAGGGCAACAGTGATCATGGCTGTTCTCTTTCCGGGGATCATGGGAAGGAAACATCTCTCTAGCTGAGCTTCGCGCGAGGGAGGGAGCGAGAGGATGATTGTGGAGAAGCCGGAATGGCTCCGTCACGAGGGCCTCCAGATCTTCTCGGTGGATTTCCAGCCCAGCGGGCAGCGATGCGCCACAGCCGGGGGCGATCACAAGGTATGTGTATCTTTTACGCAATCTCCACGCCCAATCCAGCTCTAGCGGCGCCGAATTCCTCAATCGGGCTTGTTGGGTTGGCTGGAAATCCCGGCAATCGATTTGGGTGCCGCGTGGATTGCGAGCCCAGCTCCCGGATTGTGGAGAGTTTGCTAGTGTTCTTGGCGTTCTAGCTCCCTCTCCCTCTTGAGGAAAAAACGCTCTAAATCACTGGCAATGTAGGTGAGGATCTGGAACACGCGGCCGCTGATGAAGGAAGGCGAGGCTGATCGAGGCGGTGAGAAGCTGCTGGCGACGCTGTGCGATCACTTTGGATCGGTGAATTGCGTGCGGTGGTCGAAATCGGGGCTCTACGTCGCGTCCGGCTCGGATGGAAGCCTGGTTTTGATCCACGAGAAGCGCCACGGCACTGGCACGGTGGAGTTTGGAAGTGGAGAGCCCGCCAACGTCGAGAACTGGAAAGTTTGTGCGTCGCTCCGGGGCCACACTGCCGATGTGGTAAGCCTTTCTTCTTTTGCGCATCCTAACGTTGATACTAGATTACTATTTCTTGTTTGTTCTTTCGCCTCTCTCGCCGGATCTTTGTTTCTTCTTTTCTATTCCACCTCGTTTCTCGAGTTCGATCGATCTTCTCGTCTCTTTTCTCCGCTCTAGTGATTTTTTTTGTTTTTGCTTTTTTATGTTCATTATCAGTCAACCTTTGTTTAGTTTATCTTTCAATAGTTCTCTTTCGGTCTTCTTTTACGTCTTTCATCGAGGGATCCTTATCCAAGTTTCGTCTGATTTGGGAGAAGATTAAGTTCTCTCGCCTCATTCTTTTTTTTCCTCCTCTCATCTTTGCTTTCTCGAACTCGATCTTCGTGCTAGCTTTCTAGAGTTTCCTTCTCTTTCTTGGCAATGGCTTAAGCTCATCCCCTTTGCTTTCATTTTTCTTTGTTTTTTCTTTTCCTTTCTTTCCCTCGAGAAGGGTGATCGACTGTGCCATCAAAGAGTGATTTTTTTCTCTCCATCTTTGCCTTTTCGAGCTTCGCTCTTCTTAGCTCTCTGGAGCTTTGACACTTCTTTCTCTCTCGTGGCAATGTCCCTTTGCTCTCGTTTTCTGTTCTTATCTTTTCCTCGACAAACGTGATATGCTGTGTCATCAAAAGTAGTTTTTTTTCTTCCTCTCGCATGATTTTTTTTTGTATTTTTTATTTCTGGTGATGGAGATGGAACTAATTGTGTCCTTAAAGTAGGTGGATCTTGCTTGGTCACCAGACGACTCGATGCTCGCGACGTGTAGCCTGGACAACACCGTTCGCATCTGGAAAATGCCTGGGGGATCCTCGGTCGCCGTTCTAACTGGACACAGCAGCCTTGTCAAGGGCGTCGCGTGGGATCCAATCGGCTCTTTCCTCGCTAGCCAGTCGGACGATAAGACGGTCATGATCTGGCAAACCAGCGACTGGGCTGCGGTCCATCGAGCCGAGGGCCCATGGAGAAAATCCGTAAGTTCGAAGTTTTTGTCGAGTTCTTCTTCTGGAGTTGACATTTTCTGATCTTGTGTCAAGGTTGGCTCGACGTTTTTCAGGCGTCTCTCGTGGTCACCTTGTGGCCACTTCATAATCACCACCCACGGATACGAGAACCCGAGCCACACTGCGCAAGTTTTGGAGCGAGGGGACTGGAGTGGAACTTTCAACTTCGTCGGGCACAACGCTCCCGTGGTGGCTGTCCGCTTCAACCATTCCATGTTTCGCAAGCAGCCGCTGCCGCCTCCGGAAAACAACGGAGAAGAGGAGCTGCTGCAAATGGATCCGAAGAAAGTCCCCAAGGAGATGGTTCCTTACAACGTTGTGGCCATGGGAAGCCAGGACAGGAACATCACCGTGTGGACGACGGCGAATCCCCGCCCAGTTTTCGTCGGGAAGCATTTCTTTACGCAGAGCGTGGTGGATCTCAGCTGGTCAGTTGATGATCTTTAGTATCAACTTTAATGGTTTCTTTTTGTTCTTCCTTCAGGAGTCCGGATGGATATTCGTTGTTTTGCTGCTCGCTCGACGGGACTGTGGCCAGCTTCCACTTTGAAGCCAAGGAACTCGGACACATAGTTTCGGAGAAAGAGATGGAGGAGTTTAGGAGGAACCGGTACGGCGATTCGCGGTCTCGACAGGAGTCTCTCGCGGAGAGCCCCGCGCAGCTTTTCATCGAAGCCACTGCCGCGGCAAAGAAAGTTGGCAACTCTACCACCATCGTCAGCAACGGTAACACCACGAGCAACGTTAGCAACACCACGGTAGTGACACAGACTAACAAGCAAGTAGCGAGCACGACTTTGAGGGCTCAAGAGCACGAGGAGGCCGGGACGACAACAACAGTAACAACACCGAAGAATGGAACTTTGGAGAAAGATCAGGCAGCGGCAGTAGCAGTAGCGGCAGCTCCTCTTCCTCCACCACCGGCGAAGCAAACTCCAGTGAAGCAACGAGAGTATAGGCAGCAGGATGGGCGGAGGAGGATAATCCCCGAGGCTTTACACACCGAGGACGATGGTGGTCGAAAGGACCGAGAGAGCAGCGCCGAGAAGCGAAAGCTCTCGCCGGTTGACGCCTCCAAGTCGGAGGCTCCCTCGAAGAGATTGCTGGGAAGCGGCGGCAGTGGCGGTGGTGGCGGAGGTGGCGGTGTTCGTGAGCGGAATGGCTCCGGCGCGAGCAAAGCCATCGAAGTTTCAAGCATGGAGAGGTCACTGGGATTGAGTAGCACCACCAACACGACGGTGGCGATCAACGTGACTCAAGCGTCGCAACTTCGAGGCCCGGATGGTGTCCTCTCGGTCCAAGTGAGGATATCGGACGAGGAGAGCTTGGACGGTCCGGCAGTAGCTCCCATTTGCTTGGAGGCAAAGCCGGTGAGAGTCCAGGACGCGGCCGCCGGGAGGGGCGAGACTGGAGAGACCGACTTGGTGTGCTCGCAAGGTGGAGAGATCCGGTGGAGAGATAGATTTGCGGGCAAAGTCACAGCTCTCACTGGGAACACTAACTTTTGGGCCGTCGGCTGCGAGGATGGATCACTCCAAGTAAGCTTTCTATTCTTCTCTTATGTGTTTTGTATGGTCGAAGCTCGCAAGTTTTTTTCTTTCTTTGTTCTCTTTGTTTAGATTTCTTTTTTAAAATTTTTTTTTATTTCAGTTATTTTTGCTGGTTCGTTTTTGTTTGTTTGTTGTTTTTTCTTTTCTTTTCTCTTTCTCTTTTCTTTTTTATTTATTATATTGATGCTTTTGCATTTCAGGTGTATACAATGGCTGGAAGACGAGCACTTCCAAGCATGGTAGTAGGCTCCGCCGCGGCGTTTATGGATTGTACGCGGGGCTGGGAGCTACTTTTGCTAACTCGAGGTGGAACCATGCACGTATGGGACCTCCGGCAATCACAATGTCTTCTTAACGAGTCTCTTCTCCCGCTCACCTTGAGCTCCTCGGCTACTTCTTCCGCGAAAGAAAGTGGTAAATCTTCTTTATGGTCTTTTTTCGTCAGACACTTAAAGTTTTTCTTTTTTCTTTCTCTTTCTTATAGGTGTGATGAGAATAATCTCGGCGAGGTTCTCGGAAGCTGGTGCTCCATTGGTCGTTCTTGCCAATGGTCACGCGTTTTTGTTTCACACAAAAATGAGGAGCTGGCTGAGAATAGCGGACGATTTCTTCCCTTCTTCGAGCTTCGTTAGCACTTGGCCACCCTCGGGCGATGGCGAGCTCGCGGGGCTTCAAAAAGGAGCGGCCACTCTTGGCAAGACAAACTTTAGCTGGAACAGGTTTGTTTTAGTTTCTATCACTGTTTTTCCGCGGCTAGAACTTTGAAGAATTTCCAGGACTCTAATCAATGAGAAGTACCAGACGAGAGCTCACCTCGAAGATCAACTAGCAGCAGCCCTGGCACTGAAATCCGCAGAAGAATACAAGCGCCATTTGATCTCCTACACGAGGTTTTTGACACGGTAAGAGTTCTTCGTGGCTTTAGAGTGATCAAAACCAAACTCTGTTTGAAACAGGGAAGCTGATGAAGTAAGATTGAGAGAACTTTGCGAGGATCTCTTGGGTCCTCTCTTTGTTCCAGACAGCGAGCCTTGTTACGACTCTCAGCCAACGACGAGTACATGGGAATCTTATGTTCTGGTAACCAAGAACACTTCCAATACATTTGGTTTTAACTCTTGGTATTGTTTTGAAGGGAATGAAGAAACGAGAGCTTTTGAAGAATGAGGTGCTGCCTGCAATGGCTTCCAATAGAGCTGTGCAACGTCTACTGAATGAATTCTTAGATATGTTGTCTGAGTATGAAGACACTCAGTAATGATAAATTTTTTGGCTGGTTTTTAGATTTTTCCACTTTTGCATTGCTATTGGAGGGCGATTATGTTCAGATAATGTGATTGTGAGGGTGATTACTATAACATGTTTTTGTGGTCTTTTGGTGCCCGAGATTTTTCCAGTTTAACTTCGTTTCTGGTTCAAAGATCCCTCTGGCCGCCAGTTGCGCCATGAAAATTAATCCTTATGAATGCTATCGAAGATGCCATGTCAATCAGCTTTATGAACGTTTTTTTCTGTTAAAAAGAAGTTAAGAAAATT